GTGCCGATCGTTTAACTGGCCCCAATGCTGCTGTCATCAAACGGATACTTTTTGTTGTTGCTTCAATATCTTACAGACGATCTGATTGGCATGCGGGGTGAATCTTGCGCGTTTGCACCGCACCTTGCCCCAAACCGATCAAAAGGTGTCTTCCTTCTGCCATCAGAGAGACGAAAGAGTGCCACTTTGGGGGGGTAATAAAATTGTAAATGCACCCCCCCCCCCCAATTTTGTTGCAGCTATCAAAAGGAGAATCATATCAATTGGCGAACGCCAAAATGATATAATGGTATCATGTATATATAGGTCCCTTTGCCAAACGTAACTGACATTTTGACGTCAACATACTGTATCACTTTCATACTACCAGGTACCGTACTGTCAAAAGAGGAGTATTTATGATCGTGAAACACAACGACCGCCCGCAATGGGTTTATATGTTGAAGCCTTCGCTCTTGAACTGACAACCAACAAAAACCAATTTTGCAGCATCAACTCTCTCACAAAATTCAATCGAATCCATTTGAACCATGAACTCTATCAGCTACAGATACTCAAGGATCGAAGATGACGAGCTAGTCTCGCTTATGACAAGCCCTTTGCCGTTTTCGGCTACTAGTTCGTCTCTTTCTTCCTTGCAGCCTCTGTCTTTTGGCGATCCATTCGATGACCCAGACATGGAGCCTCTACCTCTCAGACCGCAAGGTCAAGGTAGTCAAAATACGCCACTAACACAGTCAATGAAATGCGATTGTCTTGTTCCTTCCTTTATGGAACTCCTGGACGAATCAGGCGTTGCAACATCCAAAAGAAGCTCTCAGGACTGCTTCTCCTACGATGACGCTGGATCCTTTCATGTGAAACGCCAACGAAGGAGCCAAATACAAATGGCCAATGATGAAAAGAGTACAGCTCGGTTTCGTCCCTATCAAGAGAAGCAATGGCGAGCCCAGTTCCGAAAGCTCGTCCAATACAAGCTTGCACATGGACACTGCTGTGTTCCTCATTCTCACCAAGAAGATCCTATCCTAGCCCGATGGGTCAAGAGACAAAAATACCAATACAAGAAGTCCAAAGATAACGATCCTACCTCTACGATGACCACTCGTCGGATCCAAGAGCTTGAGTCTATTGGCTTCATATGGCAATCGCATGCTTCCGCATGGCAAGAGAAGCTCATTGAGCTCAAGGTCTTCAAGCAAAGAACTGGCCACTGCAACGTCCCTTCTCACCATCAAGAGAATCTTGGACTCTCCACTTGGGTAAAATGTCAACGTCGACAATACAAGCTCTACAACAGAGGGGCCCCATCGAGCTTGACAATGAAACGCTACCTTGTCTTGCAATCATTGGGGTTTGTGTTTGAACCTCAACTATCTAAATAAACAAACTAAACATGATACATTTTTTTGAATAGACAATAGCTTTGTAATCTTATGCATAGTCCATGATCATCTATTTCTGACTGGGGGATCATCGATAGGATTGTTGGAACGTGTATTAGATACTTATATTGGACTAGTCAGATTAAGGTAGCCTGGTAGGCGCAGCGGTTCGATTCCGTAATATACCTTATATTTGACATAGGATGATTTACACTTCAGACTGAATTTATCAGTATGACAGCAAAGCGGTAACTTCTATGGGTGCTGTATACCCATAGCACATCGAATTTTGATCTTAGGGGCACCAATTTCAAAAAGATAGCATCTTTCATACCACGACTTTTCTATCCAAAACCCACCATGGCGGGTATACTCCAAGCCTCCAATAAGTGCAGGGCCCAAGAATCGAGCTAATCAAATGTCCATCACACAGTGGGTACGAGTACCAGGTACCAGCGATACATGAAATTTGGTCACGCCTCCATTGTATAGCTGCAGTAGCTGCAGGACCTACAGTACCGGTAGCAAGTCAACTGACATTTAGGAAGCAAGAATAGGGCGAAGCAGTTCAAGTTTTGTTTGGTCCTACCAGTACACAAGAAACGGCAATGAATATAAATGTATATTCAGATATATGGTAGTCCTACATATATATATATGTGAGTTGAAGTTTCCAGCAACTGACATTTAAAAGTTATTTTGGTCTTGCGAATTCATTTGTGCACCGCAAAGTGAAAATGATGAATTAGATTGACCCCCCTTCGCGGTGTCAATTACCAGGTATATTTCCATTCTATCTATATGCGGGAACTAATGATGGTGGACGGGGATCTGAGTTGAAGTTTTGTGAATATTTGGACACAAAAACCGGCATTACTTTTTTTTAATCATTTAGTCAGATGCATGGCTCAGTGAACATGATAAGAAAGAGATTGACATCGCCTTCTCGATTTCTTATGTGGAGTCTATCAGAACCTGGTTCTTTCATGGTTCTTTTGTTCTATTCTCTTTTCCATTTAGCGTTTCGAAGTCGAACCTTCAACTTCAATCTGAAATATATCATTTTCGGGGTTACTACATGCTAGCTGACTCTGAGAATCGTTGTCTTAGAATCCACCCATACATGCGATAAACCAACCAGTGCTCACAAAATCATATCGAATCAAAAAAACCAAAGCACAATGTCACTTCAAACATTCATGACCGAGCTACTGCAAGAACACCAAGCAGCAGAAATAAGAATCATACGTGACGATGCTTCACTTGACTCATCTAACCACTCCCAGTCACGCGCTCAAAAAGCTGCGAATTGCAGAAGGAAGACACCTTTTGATCGGTTCGGGGCAAGGTGCGGTGCAAACGCACAAGATTCACCCCGCATGCCAATCAGATCGTCTGTAAGATATTGATGCAACAACAAGAAGTATCCGTTTGATGACAGCATCGAGGCCAGTCGAACGATCTGCAGCAAGAACACTAATGGTCAAATTTCCCCTCTGGCTGTACTAAATCAGTACGAGATTGCCGCTCGTGGGCAATCTCTATGAGAGGCAATCAAGATCTTCCGATGCGATGCGTTTTGGAACAGGAAAGTGATGGGCAGTGTGTATATGGAACCAAACTTTCTCATGTAGAGCTTCGCATCATCTAGCTCTTCATAGTCATGAGCGAACGACCTAACGAACTTGACTAGAATAACAGAAAATTATTTCTCAATACCTATATAATGAAATAGCTGTTACTATCAATGATATCCGCGATGCGATACTAGCAGTGTGTTACCATTTCATGTTCATTATCTGGGTTCCTACAGTGCTGGACGATTTCAACCGAGACCATTGAGTTGCTAACTCGTCGGTCACAATGAAATTGCACGGCCTGGACCCGATACGTGGAGCGAGTGGAATCAGAGGTTGTGGCAAGCATAGTTGATATATATGTTACGTCAGGAGCGGCGGTAATGATGTGGAATAGATTTTGCTGGGCCGCAATCACACAATAGTCCACCATGATTGGTTCTGTTGGTTGCTTGGACTGGACGTATATACGTGTGTCCAGAAATCATTGAAATCCGGTCCAAAAATAAGCCACGTATAGCGGTGGCGTGGGCCAAAGTTTCAAAACTTCCTTATTGTTGTAGCAAATATTTGTCGTTCATGGGTTTGTATGAGAAGGTTGGTGGCTTTGGAGTGGACGTTTTCTAAGTAACAGGGACTGAATCGCACATACATTGGCTTGGGGATCAATCCAAATTCATTAAAGAATGTGGCTGGAATCCTTTCCAGTAGACGAGTCGGTACTATTACCCTGACTCGATGGCACAATTGCGAGGTCAAAGCACCAAGGTCAAAGTTGGTCGAAATATACATGGGCATCGAATTTCGGCGGTGGTTTTGAGTGCTGTGGCGGACAAGAGATTCTAGGCTACTGTACTATAATTTTTTTCTCCCTTTCCAACTTTTCCAATTGACTTATTTGTGGATGGCCTATACTTGAATATATGGTCGATCCTATTACATATCTCTAATTCAGAGTCGGCACATCCCTAGCAAATATAATAACATCAGTTGAAATTAAATCTTTCGATTCTTTGAACTAGTTGCATCCTGTTCAACTATCCCTCCTCGTTTGGAAAGTTGCGGTTCAAACACGAAACCCAAAGATTCCAATATTTGGAAGCGATGAGTTGCCACATCCGAACAAGAAGACCCAGAGATGTACAATTTGTATTGGCGACGTTGACATTTTACCCAAGTGGAAAGCCCAGGATTCTCTGGATGGTGAGACGGGACGTTGCAATGACCCGTTCGTTGCTTGAAGGCCTTGAGATCATTGACTTTTTCTTGCCACGCGGAAGCATGCGAGTGCCAGATAAAGCCAATAGATTCGAGGTCTTCAATGCGACGAGTGGTCATAGTGGATGTAGGATTGTTATCGTTGAACTTTTTGTATTGGTATCTTTGTCGCTTGACCCATCTCGCAAGCATAGGATCTTCTTTGTAGGAATGAGGAACGCAACAGTGTCCATTCTTCATGCTATATTCGATCAGCTTTTGGAATTGAGCTCGCCATTGCTTCTCTTGGTATGGACGAAATCGAGCTGTAGTTTCTTCTTTATCAACAGGCTGTGTCTCGTTCGTCCGTTTGCGCTTGCAAAGGAATTGGCTTTGATTGAAGAAAGGGGCTTCGGAGCTTCTGCTGGAATCTGCTATTCTGACCTGGCCCTGCTGTCCAAGGCTGATTTTGTGATTCTTTGACATCTTCATTTCTTCCTTGAAGGAAGCGCCAGAAAAATCCTCTGTCCAGAAGATCGAATCAAATATTGATTGCCTGGGAGACTCATCATAGGTATCTTCACATTGAGGTCTCAAGGGCAAAGGTTCCATCCTTGGATCGTCGAACGGAATCTCAAACGACATCACCGGACGAACAGGAGCGTTGGAAGGGGAAGAACTCGGTGCTTCCAAAGGCGGTAAAGGGCGTCTCATAAGGGTTAGTAGGCTACTATCTTCCATATTTGAGTAGCTGCGCCTCTCCTGTTGAAACTTGTCGTTGTTTGCACTGCAAATCATGACAGAGATTATGTTGATTTTGAATTTATGATATTTGTGAGATGCTACCGAAAAATTACGCAGTGTGTGGCTCAACGAATGAATAAATGGGCTCTTAGTGCGAAGTGACTGATCAGAAGCCGATCAGAAGGCGTTAAGTGAGGAAAAGGACATTGCCAAATGGTGGGTCCAAATAGTGCAGTTAGATATATAAAAGCATCCGTGTCCCACCTATAGCTAAGATTGCCCGGATATAACTGCTGCAATAGTCCACTCCGTGTGAACTAGGATGGTGACGGCAAATGGGGCCTTATTTTCTTTTTTTGGTTTTGGTCAGAAGGCAGTGTGTGGAGAACACAGGAGCTTGAACGTGCTGTACAATGATTGTCCGCTACTCTTAACTACCTGGTACCGGCAGTACTGAAGTCACCAAAGAATGAATCAGCCGGTGTATACATGGTGCAGACTTCCTTGGTCCTCTGCAGGAGTGCTCAGCAAAGGGCAGAAGCGTCAACTATAATACTTACCGGTACAAATGAAAATGAGATGGGGGAGGATATGCTATTTATATATAGCTGATGACACAAACCTACCCTCCAACTCAATCGACAATAGTAGTACCAAGAATTGAAATTCTTGGATTTTATAATTCATAATTTGTGAATAGACAAAAGGCATGTACTGTAGCCCTATTTTAAAATAATCCTCTGCATATTTACGTGTGGTGTGTATCATCGTCCATTTTTGAGTGGGGACGGGTATCGTGGATGGGACGATGATTGCTTTGCACCACTCCCTTCAGACTGAATGGACAGCATGCCAGCAAAGGGTGTAACTTCTATTTACCCATACTGGTAGTACATCGCTCGTTACAGATTGGAAAAGTTAACACCATTCGTGCCACTTTTCTTTATATTATACAAAACCCATGGCCGACACACTCCAAGCGAAATATAGGGCCTGCAGCCTGCAGGCCCTATAGGCGGTACCTGTGAGCGTTTGACGTATGGCCTGTCAAATTTAACGTCACAACGTAGGTGAAGTCTCGTTGTAAAAATGCAGGACCTACAGCTCCGATCAATTTTAGACTGCATCCCGTAAAAAATGCGTAGACCTGGTACAAAAAGTGACGATCGATCGAGTCGGAGAGGATTTTGACTAAATCGACTACACCTCCGACTGAAATTCTGGAACAAGATGCAAGAGCCCCATCTTGTACGATATGACCTTCTTTGTTTACAAATCTTAAAATTTGAATATGCACTATTTGCCTACAGTGTATAGACTAGAGGCCTATCCATTTTAAATTCCAAATTTCGGTCTAGAATGCATGGAATTTTGAAACATTCAATTAAGTCACCTGAAATATTCAGAAGGGTTCATCTGGAAACCAGAGCCGGGAATCTCATTTCTGCCGCAGCATTGCAAATATCACCCAAAGTCAATATAGATAGGCATATTGATAACTTTTGTTTGGGTCTTACCGTGTCTGGATACCAACACGGTGACTGGGATGGATTCTTGGCCACTCCTGGATTGCATGCCAAATTGACCACAAAGGTCAATTAGGTGCAATTCAATCACTTCTACCTTAAAATCTCCCATTCCAAGCCTCCAAACCTTGTTGGATATACCCATGGACGACGAATAAGTGTTAGACTAAGGAAGTTTGAGGAAACTAGGCCAAGAATTCGACAATTCCAGAATTTATAACAAACTTACCTCTCTTCTGCCCCCATTTTGGCCTCATGATACTTGATGTAGGCCGAATCATTGCCTTGGTCCCAAAAAGTCCAAACCTTAGGTATCCAAGGGAGCCTTTGGTGTATTGTTGAATTGATAGCTGTCTCAATGGCGGCCACAGGGACATTCAGAGCGGCTGAGAAACCAAGACAACTGTTGGAAGTCATGATGAAGGAGAGGACTATGTTAGTGCTGATGATAGTCCGTCCGAAGTGAAGAAGGTGTCTTGGGCCGATGTTGTTCGTAAGAATCCTGTACAATAGTACCGGAAACTTAGTATGCGGTAAAGTCTGAATCAACGGATGGAGCTTGGGCGTTGCTCTCATTCTGTTGATTCAATCCCAATTGTAGCACCGATTAAACATCGCCTATAAGTTCAATCTTTATCATCGATAGAACTCCTACCGCTTAGGATTAACGATCCAAGCAGTTCTAGTCGTAATTTTGATTCTAACATTGAATCAACAGAAAGAGAGCAACGCCCAAGCTCCAAGAAGAACCGGTATTCGCGGGACCGACTCCATTAACGACAGATGAGCTGAAGGACCCAGATTTGGTGGAAATTTTCGACGACGAAAAGGCTGAAAACAAGGCAAGAAAGGCCGTGTATAAGTCGAATAAAAAGGCCATGTACACGCTGGTCATGGCAAATATTTCAGAGGCGACAAAGACTAAAGTTAAAGCGCGCAACGACTTCACAGCAGAAGATGAAGCCATGAACCTGGTGTGGCTCATTGGAGTACTGGACGACATCATGACAGGTTTCGAAGAGGGAGTACTGCCCGACGAGGTGGCCATGGACAAGCAACTGACCAAGATCACTACAATGAGACAGAAACCCGATGAGTCGAACGAAGCTTTCATCAAGAAGATCACTCGCGAGATCAAGGTCTATGAAAGGCATGGCGGAGTTTTTCGCTGGGGTGAAAATGAAGAGAAGAAGTTGGAAGCTGCAGTGGCCAACGCAAATGATGTATACAAGTCGGCAAACGGACAAGATATGGGAGCGAGTCTCCGAAAGGAGACCATTCGTCAGCAAAAGAAGATCATCAAGGAAAGGATTCTAGCGGCAGCAATCCTAACTCGATCTGACGACACGCGCTTCAAGTCTTTGATGACCTCGTTGAAGAATGATTTTCTCACCAAGGTCGATCGATTCCCCAAGAGCGTGGCGTCCACTATGAAGCTACTGGACAACTACATCAGTCCGTCTCACACACAAGGATCTCCAAGACCACAGCCACGGCCACGTGGAGGAGCGAGGCGATCCACATCTGTGGCGTTCTTGCAGACATCTGGAAACGACCAAGTCCTATTTGCTCGTGGTACCAACAATTCGTTCTTCCCGACCACCACATGCCACCTGTGCAAACTCAAAGGACACTACAAGAGTCACTGCCCAATAGCTATCGACGCTGACGGAACCAAGATCTCACAAGACGCTTCTGCAACTTCTGAACAGGAGGTAAGTTCCACACAACATCCGAATAGCATCGGCGTGCTTCTGAATAGCATGAGTGATACTTACATTAATCCACTATGGATACTCCTCGACAGTGAGTCCACGGACAACATTTTTCAGAACAAGGAGTTTTTGACAGATGTGAAACAGACTACTAACGGTGAGAGTTTGAGGCTTGTCAGTAATGGAGGCAGCCTCGACACCACACAGAAAGGCCTCCTTGGAAATCTTCCTGTGTGGTTCAACCCAAATTGTCTGGCAAATATTTTGTCTTTGGCCCTTGTCACTGAACATTATCGTGTGACAATGGACTCTGATATCGACAACGCTCTGCTCGTTCATGTCTCGGCTGGATACATCATGCGTTTTGTATGCATAGATATGTCTAAGTTAAAGAAAGCTTTCTGTTTCGTAAACACAGTAGCCATGAACAAGCGCCTATTCAAACAGCGAGACATTCGAAAGGCGGACGAAGCTATTACTCTCAACCGAAGGATCAATCATGTTGCCAAGGACAAATTTGCACGCATTGTGAAAAATAACTGGATCCGGAACTGCCCAGTCACAATCAACGACGTTGAAAGGTCCCATGTAATCTACGCCCCCCCAGTACCACCCATCAAAGGACGAACCAGGTACCAATCTTCGTCACGAGTACCGGACACGGAAGTTATCCCAATCCCGAAGGGCCTTTACATGGACCTCAAGAATGTGACGGTTTGCGCCGACTTCTACTATGTAGACACCGTCGCCGTTTTCCACACAATCTCTCGAAAGCTTGACTACCGCACTGTCTCTTTCCCTTTGAGCCGATCCAAAACATCCATAGTGTCCGAGATCGCGGAAATGTGCAAACGAATCCAGGGGTTTCCGTGTTATAGAACTACACGCAGATAACGAATTTAGCAAGGCTGAACGGGACCTACTTCCCATCCGTCTACGTTGCTGTGGCACAGACGATCATGTTCCAGAGATTGAACGTTCCATACAGACTCAGAAAAATGAACACCGAACCATTTGCCAAGCAATGCCATACAAATGCATCCCCCAAATGATGCTGAGAGAATTGATCAATCAGTCCAATACTTTCCTTAATGCTTTTGGGTCCGCGCAACGTGAAAGCGGCCTCTCCCCAAGAAATCTTGTAGACAACCTTCCACACATCGACTACAACGACCTCAAGTACGAATTTGGCGAATATGTCCAGCTCCACATCACTGACAGAACTACAAACACCATGAGGAGCCGCACAGTTGACGCCATTGTTTGCGGACCATGCAATATTTCAGGAAGATATAATTTTATGTCTCTTGAAACAGGAAAGGAGATTAACGGATGCGTTGTAGCACGCCTTCCAGTCACCGACGCTGTCATTGCAAGAGTTGAAACTTTAGGACGCAAACAAAACCAGCCGTACCGACACAGCAAAATGCTGACTTTCACCCAGTTTGGTGTCGTCATCCATCTGTCTTCGTAAATGGAATGGAGTCTGCGGATGGAATCCAATGCATCAATAACCAGCTGGAAATTCGACCTTGCCATCCTTTTCTTGGTTCACTTTTTTTGATATTATGCTAACCGAATGGGTAGGGAAGGAGTTTATGAAATAAAAGTGAACCAAGAGAGGTGTTGTGGATGCTAACGAGCCTTCCAAAGGTTGACAACGAAAATGGAAAGTTTTGTTGTGATGGATGTGGTACAATTTCCACGAATGTTCACGGAGGTGAGCACAAATCTGAAAGGTACTTGCTTAGATTTGAGTTATGACGTGGACTACCAGAAACGTGGAATTCTACGGCATGTTTCGAAATTGTGATGGGAGCTGGACTCCCCGCAACTCGTCTGTCTACCCACCGTTTTTTAGCAAAGTACGCGATCTGCGCGCACGGGTCTTCCCCCCTGGCAGCAGGGAACCCACCATAAATTAATATGACTTTTTGAAACCGATCAAATAAATTGAAACAAGTCACTGCGACACGAAACCGATCAAACGATTTTGAAACCGATCAAAGAAATCGAAACAAGTCAATGCGACATGAAACCGATCAATCGATTTTGAAACCGATCAAAGAAATCGAAACAAGTCAATGGGACACAAAACCGATCAAGCGATTCGAAACGAGTCGCGAAACCGATCAATCGATTTCGAAACCGATCAAAGAGTCACTGCGACACGAAACCGTTCAATTAATTGATTCAAAATGAGTGAGTCAGTCACGAAACAAATCCTCATTTCAAGAAAAGCAAAATCCTTCAAGATGACAAACGTCACACCGTCAGTACCGGGAGGATCGACTCACAAATATCGAACCTCACAAATATTAGCTTCAGACCTTGAAAAAATGGCGAGGAAGAAAAAGCTCCGACCTGGGAAATCCACAAAGGAAGACCAGATCTTGTTACTGATACTTTGAAGAGGTCGAAAACAAAGCGAGACAAGAAAGTTGCTGAGAATCGAAAACAACGAGCAGATGCTGATGCTGAGACTCATAAAGGAGTAGAGGACGACCGGTATGGAAGGAAGTTTCTGAATGATACCTTCAAGCCGACTCATGCTGAGAACTGTGCTACAAAGAATTGCATGTTTTGTCGGCAGCTGGATGGGGCATTTGCACAATCACTTGATGAAACAGAATCCTGTATGCGCAATACGTTGCAGGAAGGGCGTGAGCTTACAAGCCAATCAGTAGTTGTTCCTCCTAGAGAGCATCGAGACCAAGACAATGGTGGTGTTGCAGGACCACGAGGTGTTGAGGATGACGACGACCTACTTCAACATGCTGAGCCAGGAGATGAAGAGGATAAAGATGACTACTAGAATGACATAGAAAGTAAATACAATTACTCAGAACAGTTTCTATTTATCCCCTTCATACGTATCTACAACATCCTCGATCAAAATATCGTATAGTGACATCTCTCTTGTGATTCGATACTGAGCCAAGACGCAACAAGCCTCGAAAGCCGAAGCAAATCTATCTTCATTGTGTCGAAATCGCGTGTCCAAGATCTTATTTTGCTTCAACAGACTGTTGAAATTTTCGTGTCTCTTGAGAGCTCGACTCTTGAAGAGCCTGACACCAGCATTATCGTGTGCGTTGTAGGTGCTCATGTGCTTTGGCTCTCCGTTGTAGCCTCGATCTCCGATGGCAGATTGCTTTCGTTTCTTCAGCTCATCTAATAGTCCTTTTTCCCTAAAGATAGTAATGTCATTAGTCCCCGCTGGAAATGGACCACGCATCCAAAGCAAACGGTTGTCAACAAGTGAGATTCCCAACTCGTAATCCAAACCAGCTTTGTTATACTTGTGAGAATAGTATTTCGGATCTTGGCTCCACTCCTTATGCGAGGGCTCGTTGATCCAACAATGAATCCCATCCACTGTCATTACCCATCTTTTCCCCTGCTGGTATTCCTCCCTTGATCTTTGCGCCTGCAATGTTGGTAATTTGCATGTCGGTTTACACCCAAACTGCAGTGCAGGGAGAAACTCCGAAGTGGTGTTTGAAGCGGAAGACATTAGTCTTTCCCTTGGCACGCTTGATTCGCCTTTCGCTGTAGCCCTTCAGGGCGAGGCCAGATTCCATCATCTCCGATGGAGTAACGAGATGGTTGATGGGGGGCTCGTCCATGGAAGAGATTGATTTGATGAAAATGTGCGTAGAGGAAGGCTCTATCCGACATTCAAATACGTACTTGGGCTAACGCTGATGCGTATGATGTGGCTGCGTCAGTTTTAAAAAAATGATGTCACGAAACCGATCAAATTCGAAACCGATCAAATTCGAAACCGATCAAAAAAATTGAAACAGATCACTGCGACACGAAACCGATCAAACGATTTTGAAACCGATCAAAGAAATCGAAACAAGTCACTGCGACACGAAACCGATCAAAACCATGTTTTTGCCACAGCCATGCCCCGACTCAGGGTGTATTGAAAACTATTTAGTAGTCAAAGAAGTCGGAGTTTGGAAATCCAGAAACGGTTGGTCGACAGACGAGTTGCGGGGGGTCCTGTACGCAGTTGGAAGCAGTTCACGAGTATTGTTTGGACCTATACTGGTAGTTACTACTTATGTACATACCCAAAAAACGATAATAGGACTAATATTACATAATATTTTTTATATATGATTGCGGGAACTGATGATGGTTGGGATCTAAGTTGAAGTTTTGTGCATATTTCGACACAAAAAGGAAGTCGATGGTCGTAGAACCGGCCTTATAATTACCCTTTCATTGACGTCAGATGCATCGCACAGTAAAAATGAGATTGACCACTTCTCGGTGTTTTTAAAATAGAATTTATCATTCCATTAAGCGTTTCGAAGCCGAACTCTTCAACTTCAATGGGAAATATATTAATTTCGGGATCATGTTCTATACCGTACGCAAGTAGCCCTCCTGACTCTGAAAATCGTTGTGTTTCAGTGTAGAATCCAGCCACACAAAGCAACCAGTGCTCACAAAATCATATCGAATCAAAAATTCCAAAGCACAATGTCACTTCAAGCATTCATGACCGAGCTACTGCAAGAAAACCAAGCAGCGGAAATAAGAATCATACGTGACGATGCTTCACTTGACTCATCTAACCACTCCCAGCAGCAGTCACGAGCACAAAAAACTGCGAATTGCAGAAGGAATATATCTTTTGATCGGTTCGGGGCAAAGTGTGGTGCAAACGCACAAGCTCCACCCCGCATGCCAATCAGATCGTCTGTACTAAGATATTGAGGCAACAACAAGAAGTATCCGTTTGATAACAGCATCGAGGCCAGTCGAACGATCTGCACCAAGAACAATTATGGTCAAATTCCCCTCTGTTCTAAATAGATTGTCGCTCGCGGGCAATCTCTATAAGAGGCAGCCATGATCTTCCAATGCGATATGCTCTTGAACAGGATAGTGGGAAGTGTGGGTATGAAACCAAACTTTCTATCATGCATAGCTTGGTGGCATTCCATGAGTGAATGACCAAACGAACTTGAATATAATAACTGAACATTATTCCTACCGTATATATCTATAATGAAATAGCTGTTATCATTGCATCCAGTAACAGAGTACCCTCGGAAGCGTGGAAGACTGACTATTTGCTTATTGAATATTCACTCGCATGGTTCCAACGAAGATGCAATACTTACGCCCTGTTTGGAAACACCAATCCATAATCCCGGCAAGCTGATCTGTACGTTGTATGATACTGAGATCAGAATCCTGTACAGTATCCAAAGCATCGCATGCCAAGACAGTGGTAACAGCTGGCGACGCTTTACAAACTGAACCAGCAGATGGAGCAGTGACTATGTCCACGTACATGTACGGTGGTACCCATGACACTTCACTTCAATACCGGTAGAGAGACTACATGCCGTGTACGGAAATGTTAGCTTCAACTTTCTCGACTGAACCGTGAAGTTGTACCATGATGCGACTTGAGAGCTAGATGAATTTCTGGCTGGGCGAGCAATGATCGAGCAGCAATTGACGACACTTGGTGCACGGCTACCCTTAAGCCTGATTGAGAGTATTGCTACCTTAAGCCTGATAGTACCATCCACCAGGATAATAATTCGGTAGTAGCTACCTATGCTCAGTGCTGATGCTCCTCCTTTTATGACTATGCTGAACCTCTGCAGGCCATTGGCTGCTGGTCTTGCTTTTTCTCCAGCCGCCCATAATGAGAATCAGATTGAGTGCCGTGGCCGTGCAACCGTGATGTGTTGAATATTGAAGTACGTATCACTTATTATTCATTATTACTATTCAGGATTGCCTATTATTTCTACTATAGTATTATATAGTAGGGAATGCAACAAAAGGAATGAATCTGAAGATAATGCAGTACTGTCCGATGAATATGTTTTCGTCCGTGAGATGATGCGAATTTTGTGATTCCGAATTCCGTCAAATGCGAAGAAGATTTGAGATATCCGATGATTGCGATTCATTCGATGAGGCGCACGCAATTTTTATTTGAGAACTCAAAAATAAGACACAACAACAATATTGAAGCACTTGAGCAACGTAGTCCTGACAACGTCTAAGGAGAATATCCTACAACAATGATTCGGAACTCGCTGTCACAGGCCGTCGGAAAAGCCAGCTTGGTTGCAGCAAGGACTCCAAAACAGCAGTCATCCCGTTTGATTCATCTGTCACTGGTAAAGAAAAATAATAAGAATCCGTTGATGCTTCGTCGACGATTGCTGGTGCAGTCGTTTTCTACATCAGCATCGAGTGGTAATCAAGTGGATGTAGAAGCTTCTGCTGTTGTCCGTAACAAGATATTGGCAGTGGTAGCTCTGGCAGGTGCTGTGGCTGGGGCTGCCACGTTTATTGGAACTACTGCCAACAATGTTGCCTACTGTGAGCAAGCAGAGGATGATGAGGAAACGAAACAGGTTCCCAAAACCACCCTAGACTATTTAAATTTCGATGTATGGACTCCTGCGATTGTGGCTAGGGAGGATCTGATGGAATTGGCGAACGAACACGATGGTGGATTGGAAGGATACCCAGTGTATTCCGCCAAGGAAGTAGCGGAAAATGATGGGACGGATGGAAAACCAATTTGGATGAGTTATGGTGGGGTAAGTTTTTCTGCTAAAATACCTATTGGCATTTTGATGTGGTTGGCACAAGATTATTATTGGCAATTGTATTGAATATGTCTAACCATCTGTTTGCTGATACAACAACTGTTCAGGTCGTTTATGATGTGACCAAGTTCATATCCAATCACCCGGGAGGATCAGAGAAAATAATGATGGCAGCAGGATCAGTAAGTTATTTCTAAGTGATCAGATTCCACTGAGAGGCTTGTGACTTGCTGTTGGTGGTGTTCCTTTGGGTCGTATCTAACAGTCTGTGGTGCATCATGAATTCTGCTCGGTTGCAACAATATTCCTTATTCTTAGAGCATCGAACCATTCTGGCATAACTATCGACAACATTTTTCGTCCGATCTACCGATTAGACTCATGGAGCACATGGTCATTGGCCGACTCCTTGAAAAAGATCAAGTCTTGGTGGATGCTCACATGGAAGCCATCTATGAAAACTCAGAGGATCCCTTTGACCATGAGCCAGTGAGGCACAAGGCACTGAGGGTGCACTCGGAACATACCATGAATGCCGAGACACCGTGAGTACTAGTATCGCATGGCATCATCACTGTCGTTGTCGTCAAGTTGTGATCGTTGCAGTGGAAACCTCACGCTCTTCGTCTCCATCGTTTCACCATGCAGTGCACATTTACTGACCAACAATTACTTGACACCCAACTCGATCTTCTACATTCGACACCATCATCCAGTACCATTCTTGACTACGGAACAAGTTCAAAAGTTTGCCTTGGAAATTGACTTGTCTGCGTTTGCGCCTGGTGGCGGTGAGGAACTCTTTGGAAAGGAGAAGCAAAAATACATCCAACGATACACTCTCGAGGAACTCAAAACAAAGTTCCCTGAAACCCACGTGGTGGCTACCTTGCAGTGCAGTGGAAACCGTCGCTCTGATTTCAATCGATTCCAACGTACATCCGGTACTGGATGGGGCCAAGGTGCCATTTCCACGGCCAAATGGACGGGTGTGCGGTTGTCGGATTTGTTGAAAGATGCGGGCTTGGACAATCCCATGGAAGCGGAAAAGGAGCACGGGGTAAGGCATGTCCGCATGCACGCCTTGGATGGCATGTCGGCATCGGTGGGAATGGAAAAGGTCATGAATCCCTACGGGGATTGTATCGTTGCCTACGAAATGAACGGTCAACTGCTGCCGCGAGATCATGGATATCCCCTTCGAGTAAGTCAATATTACCATTGTTGGCTGAACTAACTATTATTACCATACAAAAATACGGTCATGGTCCTGTTGGCATGATGCACTCACTTACTGTTGTTACTTTACTATTTCGTTCAGGTCATTGTTCCAGGATATGCTGGTGTTCGCAACGTCAAGTGGGTCAATCGAATCGAGTTGGCCAAAGAGGAAGCAGAGGGTCCATGGCAACGGGGGTTGAATTACAAGATTTTGCCTCCTTCCATTACTGATGCCAACGAGGTCGACATCGAAACCATGCCTTCCGTCATGGAGCCAAGCTTGTTTTCAGGGATTACCAATTTGCGTCTTGGCAAAAACAAAGGACGTCCTAGTGAGTACCATCCAGGCGATAAAGTGAACATGACGGTTTCGGGCTGGGCTTGGGCCGGAGGTGGTCGCAATATTGTTCGTGTGGATTTGACGGGAGATAATGGTCACACTTGGACATCAGCAGAATTGAAGGAGGGCAAGGGGCAACGATTTGGCAAGGCGTGGGCTTGGACCTTTTGGGAAGCTCAAGTTCCTGCAGTTGTACTGAAAGATGGGACTGTGGACGTTGCCTCCAAGGCAATCGACAATGCTTTCAATGTACAGCCAGAATCGAGTGATCACGTATGGAATGTCCGAGGTTTAGGGAACAACTCCTGGTTCCGCCGCAGCTTTCGTTTGTCATCCCCAGGAAAGAAGTAAACTGTGATTGTCTAAGGGAACCGTTTGACTCGACTCTTCGTCCGTGATTCACCATTTCATTACAAGGTATGGTACCAGATACCGGTAGAGTAGTTCAATAAATCCAAATATTATGAGTGTCTCGGTCGTTCTAGGACACACTTTAAAAACCGCCGTATTCAGTATTGAGTATGGTCAAATTTTCCTATCTCAAGTGGGACCTTTGAACCTGGGCAGAATGGGACCATCGGCATCAGAATTGTGAGACTTGGTCAAGTGCAAGTAGGTATCGATACCTGTAGAGTAGTTCAATAATCGGACATCGTGTTGCATTTTAAATCACCGAATAACCAGCTTGGGTTTCCCAAAATCATTCACTGGGACCTAAAATGTTTGTTGTGAAGCGTAACAACTCTTTGCGCATGTCAAAAATATGTGTTCCCGAGAAGGGTGATCTCATCAATGGTTCTGCAGCGTTCTTCTTCACGAGAGCCTTCTCAACCTCAAGAGGGCTCAAGGTAGCTATTATTGAAAAATGTCTATCGTTGGCTTAAAGTGAGCTGGACCCCGCAGTGAATTGACACAAAGTGCACTACACAAGTTTTCTGCTCGAGGCTCGTTTCCGGTCGAAAAATTCGTATTGTTTTGTGACATCAGTTTTATGATAAAATTCGCAAAACCCGCATCTTCACGAGATTCTGCTCAAAGGAAATGGTAATGCTAGGATGGTTTTCGTGCATAGACTATGTATAATATAGAGTTGATTAGCAGCGCACAATTCAGATTCAGTGGCGCAAAGATATATATTTGAGCGCAGTGCGAAACTAATAAATATACCAGAGAACATTCTTTTGGAGCTAGAAAGACACGACAGCTTAGCGGAAACTATAGCCTATGAATCCTTCTGATTAAGAACACCAATTACACAAATGGATATTGCCCTTGCAGTGTTAATGCAAATTCTCCTACACATTTTTCGAAAAAAGATCCTCATCATCATGTCGCTGAAGATTGTCATCGAGCAAAACAACAGAACTATTACTTGCTTGAAAGACCAAGACTTCTCGAGTGCCCTTGAGTCTTCGTCGGAAGCTCTGAGGCTCTACCACAGTGCGCTAGTGCATAGCTCGGAAGAAGATGAATGCCCACCACCTTCCATGACTGCACACACTGACAGTGACTATTTGGATCAGTGTCTGCTTCAATCCGAAGTCGTCGACGACGAGACTGAAGCAAAAGCTCATCAACCATTCATCTACAGAAGCGCCATCCCACTCCCTCCTTCCATCATCACTGATTCCGCAGCAATGGTTGCCCCGATTCTCATCTTCAATATAGCACTTGCTTACCATCTTCGTGCAGACGATGACGATGGTACGACCCCTGGACATCAAATCAGTTTGAAGGGTCTCCATAAAGCGAGATGCTTGTACGAGAAGGCATATGAAGCTCATGGCATTGATCAAAATGTGCTCTTTCAGTTTGTTATTCTGAACAATATTGCAATCATCGATCAACGCATGGGAAACTATGCGATGATGCAAAGCTGTTTTGAGCACTTGACCTCATTATTCATGCTGCTTGTTGACCAAGGATGCAGTGTGCGATTGAGACACATTGTGGGTTTTCTGAGCAATCTTTCATCGGCGGCCCAGCCGGCCTCGGCGGCAGCGTGATCTAAACACTTTGAAAGATTTGATTTTACCTTCTCTCTGACATGACCACCCTGCTATAAGCATATATAAGCATATATAATGTCTAATTACATATTAGACTAGAAAGTATTTTCGGTACTCTTTCTTTATATATATTGCTGGCAATCCAATGGGTGGTGCCATGCCCCTCCAGATCATGCTGCGGCAGCTATCTTCATCAGATTATACGGCGGAACGACGTTCCGAAGAAAGCCCTGCAATTGACGCAATCGGGAATCGCACCCCTGGTCTACCATCAGCATCAAAACTGACATCAAATTCTCAAACGTTTGGGTCGACATTGCTTCGTTTCCGATGCATCGATCAATCACGGCAATGTTGTTGACCACTGCAAACTCAAACAACAAATTGTGATGGGCACCACTGTGGACACCAAAGGCCAGCTCATAAAGTCGTTTCGATTGGAGTAGTAGAAAAGTATGAGATGACTTGCATTTGCAATGTTGCAGTGCATAAAGCTGGTATGCAAGGGCCGAGTTGAAGGTTAGTATGGCGGAGACCATGGTCATGGAGTTGTTGTCAGTTGCAAGAGTGTTGGGTGGAAGTATAATACCATGGCTGTAGACGAATAACGGAGGTGTCGTGCAAGTAGATGACGAATCATTCACGCTGTTGCCATATTGTTTTGATAGAAGCATGGATTGGTCCAAGCAATCGGGGGCACATGATGACCCCGATGATGATGACGCTGATAAGAACAAGCCATGTTGAACTGTCTGGAAATCGGCATGGTACCTCAGCGCTAATGCTGATGATGCGATCGCTCTCTCAAAGTCACGTCGCTGGAGATAGGTAACGGTGACATTGTTTTGAATAATGATCGGTTGGATAGTCATGATATGTGAAAGGTGATTGGCACTGCAACTTTGCATTTTATGATGATGACAAAAATGAGGACTGTAGAACAGTAAGACTGAAAGGAGACCTAATCTGAAATTGAAATTGTCGTTGCGATATCTCATACCCAATGGTATCATACCATTTCTGCCACGTCAAGAGAAGAAGATCGTATCATTGAAACCAATCAAAAGGCCAGAAAGCTCCGGCCTTCGTCCGTTCGAATTCGACACCTCGCCATATTTTTGGATTGGAATTCTCTTCCGTCTGAAAATAAAATGCCACGAACTCCAAAATCCAAAACCAAACACTTTGCCCCATTTCATTATCATAAAAACCAATTTCAAAGGCTAACTTCAGGAGGATTGAATCTACAGTGAAGATCAGCTCAGGTCCAATATGAAGCCCTTGCGACCTTCCGTTTCGGTGATTCTTTTCTTCATGTTGTCCACAATCAAGACTTTCTCCTCGGCGTTTCCCTCCTCGTCAGCTGGTCTAAGGAGGACGATTCATGGCACAACACTCGATTCTCGGACTCCTCCAAAGTCTGACGGGTTCATGATACTCACTGAATCCGCTGCGAAGAATCAGCGATCTACAGAGACGGTGCGTCGCAAGTGAATATACATCTTTTGCTTATATCAGATCTTCTATGATATTTTTTTTGTCTAATCACCATCTCTCATCTATTCATGTGCATGATTCGTTACAATGCGACGATCCACAAACACGATGGATATGCACTATACATTCCATACATTCAGAAACTGAACTATGCTTCCTCTTCCATACGAGAGGTTGTTCAAGGATCGTCGCTTCGTGTCTTTCCCTTTTCATCCTCTCGCACATCTCGCAGCCTCCGCATTGACATGATGACTGATGGTCGTCCCTTGGAAGCTAGGGTAGAACTGTGGCATGGTCCGGATCATTGTCCTCAGAAAGTCCGCGTCTATTCCGAAAATGGATATGATCGACGTAAGTGCGTGTTTGTTTGCCTTCTGAATACCCTTTATTCATAATCATCACTAATGAATGCCTCTTCGCTTCATCTGATACATGTAGCCTTTCGTGCTTGCATTGAGCCACCATCAGGGGATTCCAACTTTGCAGTTGCCATTAAAAATACTGGGAAAAACTTTGAATTTCCGCTTGCCGCGTCGGTCCAGGACTTGGAGGCAATGGATGAAGCCGATGCCAATCCCTTTTATGATTCCCAGCTGTTGTTGGAGGATGGTGACGACAGTTACGGAAACGTTCTTTCTCGCACTAACGGTCGGGTCATTCAAGGTGGAGCCATTCGATCCTTCAACTTTGCGCCAAAGGTAGACAAGATTCAAGTCTTGTTGGAAACTTCGGGATTGCCTCTGTGTGCACGAATCGAAATATCACAAGGTCCCGACAGCAACAAACAGGTCATGGACATTTTTTCAGAAGATGGAAAACAGTTTCCACTCTACTTGGCCATTGATTTGCCCCATTCTTCTTCTTCGTCGTCTATTACTGCTACGACTAGTTCCCCAGTCAGCAGCGTGGATGGACAGGAGCATGTCATGAGAATCATTAACGCCGCTACAATGGAATACCCAATTAAGGTGTGGACAGACTCTTACACCACTGTCGGTTCAAATGATAATGCAGCCTCAAGCAGAATCGTCGAAACAAGGCGGCTTCTGGAGGCAAGCATGGACGATAACACCAATATCCCTGCATTGCGAGTGCCAAACGTTGAAGAGTCAAAATCCTATCGCAATACTTGGTGAAGTAAAAACCTGCCACGCGATTGAAAATGGAAGCATTGAAAAAGTTACATATGGATAGGTGTATTGTGCACCAGTCCCTCTATACCCAATCACGCGAGGTGGAAGGCGATTCTCCACGCCGACAATACGTGGCCATGTTATTTTGGTGCATTGCAAAGGAAAAAGTAAATGTAATGAGTGAATCGGCTACCCATCGAAGCTTTTCTCTACCTCTTGGTGGTATTTGGCATTAGCTTCCACTTTCAGAGTAGATTCTTGGCCGAGCATATACATGTGGTGGCAGCAAAGGACCATGACAAGATATCAATTAATAAGGTATCACATGACCTTCCGAGTTTTTTTCGCCTATAAGGTATCTTGTATTCATTAAAGACAAACAGTGATCACTTTGTGACGCAAACAATAGTACATGGCGGTAGGATTCCCTCGACTCTTTTCCAGAACAAGAGACCAAGCAGCGATCGACAGAGTAGGCTCGTGAACAAATTGCTTGGCTCGGGATCGGTTTAGCTGCAATTGATAGTTCAATGCGTTCTCTATTCCTTGGCGTATTTCTTTCTTGATTTGTCTAGACTTGGGATCTCTTGATTCGGAACAATCCAAGTACTTTTTCCAACCGGGTATCCTTGTCAAGGAGCAGTTGTCCTCCAGAGCATCGATTATCGGTTTTAGCAAACACAGACGCGTTGCTTCGTTTCCGCTCGATGATGAATCGAAATGGTTGGTAAAGTGATGGTGTCGTTGCTGGTGGCGAGGACTGATTTGCATGTGATTGCCAAACCGCAAATCTGGTCGAGGAAGGATCAGGCGATGCACCAATCGCAAATCTAGAACTTTCAAGCCCTTCATTTGACGAATGGACTTGGCAAAGGACTCGATTCCTTCGTGCGAAAGGTATTCGAGAAGGTTCCCAAGGTAGAGCTTCTCGATCGATCGATTATTGCAGAGTGCTCGGCCCAAGCGAAGGATCATGGACTTTGCCTCCGCCTCGTCGCGGTTGTCGTGAAGACGCAGATGAGTCTTGACAAATGATATCGTGTGCACGCTACAGTTGTCTTCCAAGGCACGAAAAAAGGACAGCGTATGCTTGGATAAGAGGACTTCCGCTCCAATCTCATTTCTCCATCCATGAGCACTCCGAAGAGCTCTCGTGTGGCCGTATCCTTCTACCATTATGTCTTGTATGCAAGACTGAGGATGTTTCAATATGGATGCTGCGATGGAATAATGTACACCCTTGTCACTGCTGCTTTCGTGAAAATCTTCTTCTACAACTGAATCAACTGTGGTGGAATAAAATGCCTGAAGCCACAAACGTTTCAGAGTTGGGTGCTTCGACAATGCCTTATCCAGGCTAGTAGTAATTGCATTTGGCAAGGTGCTTCCATTTGGATAGTCACGGAGATAAAATGTCTGAATATGAATGCCAGAAATCACCTGCAAGAACAATTCAATCTGATCCAATTGTTCAACCTGAACCTGTACGTCATCTCGAAAATTTGTGCTTATCACCAATTCGACTAGTGACGACTGTGGTCCGCTTGATGATTCGTCATTTCCTTCGTTACCCCTGTAATCAGTATCTTGTTCAGGGCCTGCGGGTAGAGGTCGAAAATACATGCGTGGTTCCTGATCTTTGGGATTGATTCGAGAATTGATGTAGTTAATGGCCTGCTGTGGAGTACCTTGCATATGAATTGGGCCTTGAACCACAAGATGATACTGACCAAGATCACCTTCTTCACCATTAGGAAGACGATCTTCTGACTCTTCATGTGGTTGCAAACTTGGAAATGGGTCGTTTGCATGTTCATTCTTCAGTGATGGTATCTTATTCTTGGAATCGTCGATTAAATGCAGAACAACCCGACTGGGATCTCCTGATGCTGATACTCCTACTGTCAATGTCATATTCCTCGATGTTATTTCTTAGGGTGGCTATTTCCCTTCCAAAGAATGTGGTGGTCACAAAAGGTTTCAAAAGCATGCCCAAGATGATTTCGAAAGCGGTGCTCGTCTTATTTTGACATCATTTGAATCTTGGCGGGGGAGTCAAAAAATGTGAATCGAGCGTTGAAAAGATCAAGAATGAGGCAACATGCAGCTAAGTCTGTACCTGTTTCTTTGCATCCTACGAATAACCTACCGTTTTATACGCATGGCACTATGTCTAGTAGTAAAATGCCAACATTCACAAGAGTAATGCCTGCTACCAGCTTGTAATGCTTTTAAGTCACTATCGATCACTCCATATGGACATTCCGAAAAGTACCATGTTCTTTGCTCGTGAAGTATACGGTAGGGCAAGCGAGCAATAAGATTTTTTATGGTAGTCATGGCTAGCAGGGTGTGAAGGCCAGACTTGTGACGGACGCGATTATTATTGGACGAGAGATTGGGATTGCGGAGAGTTTTTATGGATCGCAATCGCCGGTACGAATATATGATGTGAAGATGACATTAATATCCAAGAATTAAAAAATATAAAGCACGAGTTATTTTGAGAGTACGGTAGTAGGGCAAACAAGTCACAATCTTATCATGAAATCCATTGCACTACTTCCGTCCATTCTCTTCCTCGCAGATCCAGCTGCATCCTTATCAGCATCATCAGGTTTCTTCAAACTCGATCGATTCACTGCCACCTGTCCTACCGACGAAAGTTGCATTCGACAGTTTGATTTCAACCTGATGGATGCAGATGGGAACGGGATTTGGGCAAATATAGGAACTTGGGCAGCTGTGTATCGGTCGAACAACAACAAGCCCAGCTTATTCGCTCGGGATGAATTCTTCAGTGCCATGAGTGAGGCTACTACTCCGAATTATAACGATAATTCTGCAAACCAATCATCACCTGACCAAGTGGATTCCTCCAAGATCTCGACACCCATGGCTCTTGAAAAGCCAGTAGCAGTAGCGAGATTAATCCCCTCGCCAGATTTTGAGCACAAGTGGATTCTGGATTGTATGCGGTGTGCGCTCAAGAAAGAAGATCTGGATGAAACCTGCGATGGTGGCAGTGAATATGTGGAGGCTCTCAGTGTCTGTGTGGATTCGCTGTTATTGCACCACCTCAAGGAGAATACCAAAACTGGTACCGTCTTTGAAGGATCTATTCGTACGAAAGCAACTCTGCACAGCAGCAAAATCTTGGAAGAACGAGGATTCACTCCAGTGCAAAAATTATCCACCGACATGGCCACCCACATATCTCATTACGATGACTGTTTGAAGAATTATGCATTGCGAACAGCTAGTACCAATCTAAGTCCAGAAGCCCGAGATAGAGCCCTACAGATAGTTTCTTTGTTAGGAAAGCTGGACGAGGAGCTTGAGCGAAAGGCAAAGGAGAATGATAGTGCAGATGGGAATTCTGATGAGGACGATGACTACGATCCATGGGCTAATATCAGTATGCAAATATAACTGTCTAGTCCTAAATTGACCATTGTGACGGGAAGAACGACAGTTTAGGATCGATGTTTGTATAGTATTAGAATGTGATGATGTGGATGGATTTACTGCACGATACCAAGAGGGTCAAATACCGTAATGATACAATCTTCCAGCTGCTCTTGACGATAACGCTTAGGATTACGACCCATGGGCTTATAATGTGTATAACTGTCAAAATAATTGGTGTAACGGGATGTATAGGTTTATAATTTTTAGATTTGCATCAGAATGTGACGGTGTGGATGAACAAATTACTACCTAAAAAGAATGAACGGAGCTTCATCAGGAGGCATCTCTGACGATGATAATCACAACTATTTCTATCCATCATGAGTGTTGTTTACGAACATTTGTATATCCGAGTGCGATTGGGCAGATGGAATAATTAACTAGGGACCTACAGCATATTAGTACTATAAAGTCGCAAAGGAGCTTCGTAGTTCTGCGGCAGCCTCTGGATTGAAAATGTCCATAACGGATTGAGGACTATTGCTGGATATTGATTGTTTGATATCATCTTGACGATTGCTTCTGCCTTGAAACGAAACTGATCTTGCCACAGAACGCTTGGCCTTGGACGGTTTCGGAGTAGAGTAACCGGCATCGAGGCTGTAGGAGCGTCCAACGCGGACAATCTCGTGCTCCTGAGATGGACACGATTCAATAACGTGATCCACAACTTCGTCATCATCTGCTTCTTGTTCTCCACATGGCAGTTGATAGGAATCATTGGATGGTAATTGTGACGAGGCTGCTGAAGAAGGTGTGCAGGAAGAAGGATTGTCGGACACAATGGATAGAGTCTCCATGGAATGAACGAAACCCTTCTCCTTGAGCAAGGCTGGCATAAAGACATCCAAGGCATTGTATTCATCAATGGAAGGTAATGATGGAAAGGAAAGCCGCGACTTGCCATCTACAGCGAGTGAATGAGTCGCAGCGCTATCCGAAATGATTCGAATGCTGTGACTATTGTTATGAGACCTGAGCTTCAGGGCAAGGTTCTCAAAGTAAGACACTGCAGATGCCGAGGCAGTCGAGTCCTTATCATTTGAGGATGTACAGGTTGAGGCGGTGGTATCACTGTTTCCTTCAGATTCAACGCGTTCTTGACGCTCATCATACAAAGGCCAGAGGAGCTGTTCGTCTGCGTCTGCACTTTCATTGAGTGGCGACGGACCGTATTCAAATGCAATGGGTTCCACTTCAACTTCCGATGATGAGGAGGGCGAGGAAGAGCATGAACTTATGGGTGACTCTTCGCAAGTCATGGTGATTCTACTTCAGTATTCCTGCTGTTGTCTACTTCTTTGTTTTTGTGAACTTTCAATGGTCCGAAGCGAAACACAAAACTGTGAAAACGTCTCCTCTGATGCCGCGGTGCTGCAATCTTCCGTTCTTTTTTGCTGAGGTCTTTCGTTCTTCAATCAATCGGCAGTTTTGTGATCAGGGGAAGTACTTATATGCCCATGGACACATTTGGCTTTTTGATGCCGACTTATGATCACAACGGAATATTATGTCGTTCAGGTACTCAGGTTCATAAGTAGATCAGATGTTTGTCGAATATCCACGCAAATCTAGACAAATACTTAATGAAATTCGTATGAGAACAATTTTCAATTACGCATATGTTTGCTTGAATACGTATTTCGCTTTTTAAATCCCACTTAATGCTCAGGTACACGTACCCAGGAGTCCTTCAAGTCCGGTCAAATTCGGACAAAAATCCAGTACCGGGCGGTATAGTTCCACACGGAATGCCTCCCGTGCATACCGCGGTACCGGTAGGACCTCTCTAACACGTACAGCACTGTAGTGCTCTTTTTTATTGCATTTGCATGAGCGGTCTCTGCACTCTACAGCAGAGTACCGGTTCTCAGTTTGAACTGCATGCTCAGGTTCCTGAGGATAATGTCAGCCCAGCAGTACCGCACTGCACTTTACCATACCGTATCCACCAAACGGTTTGGTTACGGTTCATGAAGATGTCAGCCATGCAGTACAGTACCGTACCGGTATAGTATCGTAGGGTACGAACTGTACCGGTATGGCGAGTTACTACCGTACTGTACTGTAATGTTCGATTACGGTTCGTATATCGTCCCATACTAATATACGTCGCGCATACTGTATGACGAGGAGTTTCCTATTTTCCAATACGGTTCCTGAAGATGTCAGCCTAGCAGTACCGTATAGTATTGTATCGTGTGGTACTTTATGGCGAGTTACTACTGCACTGTTTGATTACGGTTCGAGTCATACCTGGTATTGTACATACCGGCACCGTTGCCTAGTGACGACTCGTTTGACTACTGTACGGTTGAGTCTATACTAGTGCATACTGTATGTCACATCACATTGAAACTTGACGAGATAGGTAGTTGGTAGCCCAGGGCTCGGGCACAACCAACCTTCAGCTTCTGAAGTGACGAGCGAATCAATCTGTTTTTTGCTATTCAAATTTTCAAACTGTTCGTTCTTCTCTACTATCATAGCCTCTTATCATTTTTCATTTGGAAATCGTTGGACAACAGGAAGCGTTTGTGGACCTTCCTTGAGAGCTAGTTCCAATATATTCTTTGCCACAAAGGGAATCGAATTGAAAGAATCCTTCTCCTTGATAGAGATGAACTTGTCAAGCATTGGGAAATCCTCCTTGGAGCTGGATCGAATCATGACTTGCATATCCGTATCAATGACACCCGGTGCTATGGCATAGGCACGAAAGTTGGTGTTGGATGACGACGAGTCTTCCGTTTCTTCCAAAAAGGCGGATTCCGTCAAACGATCAACCGCTCCTTTACCAGAACTGTAGGCACCCCAGCCAGCATATCCTTTTTGAGCAGCGCCACTGGATATATTCACCAAGGTTGCGTCTTTTAGTGGTGTGGACTGTGGTTGTGACCGAACATGGTTGATGTAGGCCTTGGTCCCTTTAAAGACGCCCCCCAAATTGATTTGCATGTTCCGATCAAAGTCTTCATAGGACATGTTACGAATGGGTTGTATCGGATCCAAGATTCCAGCATTATTGATCCACATGTCGATTGGACCAAACTTCTCCACCACGGCATCCAAAAAAGAGCCAACTGCATGTTCGTCACATACGTCGACAGATTGGTAGAGGAGATGATCATCAAAGGACGACTCAGAATAGAAGGATGCTGATGGTTTGGAGGATCGAGCACAGAGGCCAAGCTTGTGTCCTTGCTTCAGATAGACTTCTGCCATTCCGGCACCAAGGCCCCGACTGGCACCAGTAATGACAATGACAAGTGATCGACCAGCAGCCATTTTTGCTTTGATTTGTTTGGAGGTGTGGTGAAGAGAAGCAAAAAAAGTTTGGGAACGACTCACTTCTTGCAACTCTACTGTTATGGTGCTGTGCCATCCCACCATCATTCATTCATTCATTCATTCATGTTTCGCCGCTCTGCGATGCGGTATATGGAACACGTCACAAATCGAACCTAACAAAGTACCGTTATTGTATACCTTGAGATTTGCGCAGACCTTCGTGGGGAATTTATACGCACCTCAATATAAAAAGGGTTCAAAAAGCAGGTACCGTACCTACGGTACCATTGTTTGCCCCAAAATCATTACTGCAGCCGAATGGTTGGTAACTGCTTTGAAGTTTTTTCTCGGAATAAATCTTCAGGTACTTCATGGGTACCGTACTACATATGACGATGCTTGGTTGGTTGGATTCACAAGAATCATCTTCCAAAAGTGGCCATATCAGTACCCATGGTGGCAAGTTTCCCTTTTGCTGTACACCAAATACCACAGTATTGGTTTGGTGGAGCGGTACCGGTTCGTACTGTGGAAGTAAGAATTCTAAAATAGGAGGCTCCCTAGTTTCCTGTTCTTCAGGTGACTTGTTGTTCGGATTCCGCATGTTTTAGAATATACTAACTTCTACCGTACTCAACACTAATTAAAAGCTGATGGAACAGCAGATTGAACCACGAATCCTTCGCACGAGCGATGAGAGAGTGAAATGACTTTTTAATATAAAATATGTTGGTCGGAACGCTCAAATGAATGCGTCAACAAATTATTATGTTTATCGCGGTTATGTAACAACCATGTCCATGTGTACGCGATGAGCCGCGAGCCAATTTGCAAGAGCGGCATGTTCAATCAAGTATAGGTTCAATGTGGTCCTAAAGGTATGGAGTACCTCCTTGTACCAGGTACCAGGTACTGCGGTCCATTCCAATGATACCCTTTTTTCTCTTCAAAATACGGCATCGGTTTGTCGAAGCTCCAATATGATGAGCAGAACTACTATAGTTGAAGTTTCGACTGCCGCTATCAAAGACTGATTAATGGCTAAGATCGCGCTTCGGATCTTTGCAATTTGTTGGGCCTAACCGACCATACCAGGCATAAGTGATACAAAACACGTGAGCAAAAGCCGATTGCAGTTTGATATTGGAACCCGTTCTCCTTGAGCGCTACTATTTCACAACTAAATTCTGCAAAATGAAGAAGAGAATCCGCCTTCACGTAAACAATTGTGTTATGAATATAAAACTGTATGCAGTATGATAGAGCCCCACACAAAATGCTTGTTGAAACCATGAACGTTGAATTCCCACAAACCATTGACAGTATGGGTTGTTCTGCTCCATTCTTCAATCACGATGGCAACAGTGAAGTTTCTGTTGGGTTGATGGAAGAAGAAGAGGCTTTCCTGGCATCAGAAATAAAGAATCTCTCATTTCAGGAACGAAACAAGGCTCTCGAGGACGTCCACTGTGTCGGTGAAGGTGAAAAAGAGAACCCAGAGATGATCAAGCAAGCACTGATTGAATTCCAAGGAGAGGTTGAGAGCCAAGCAGACCCAATATACATGCGTGCATATAGTCGCAATCGAGGTTATGTCGAGGATCCTGCCTTCCGATTAATGTTTCTACGCTGTAAGCTCTATGATGCCAAGCAAGCTGCAAGACAAATGATCAGTTTTCTGCGTAACCAAGATGCTTATTTCGGTTCACATACGCTGGGCCGTGATATTGCATTCACAGACTTGGAGGAAGAAGACAAGCAGATCCTCAAATCTGGCATCTTTCACATTCAAGCAGAGAGGGACAAAGCGGGAAGGGTGGTAGTCATTCTCTTTAATGATATGTTTTTGCGAAATTACAAGATCGAATCCATGGTAAGAAAAGTCACTCGCTCTGCTCTTTTAATTTCATCTTCTGGATTGGAACTGAACCCCACACAATGTCATCTTTTCAATTGTTCTTCCAATCTCAGATACGTGCAGGCTATTTTATGATCTTCAATTGCGTTCGTTCTCGACCCGATGTCCAACTACAGGGTGTTACCACCATCTTCTATGATGTCGTGAGGGCGGATGGCCAGCAAAAAAATCAAAGCTGGGATGCCGTTCTGACACTGATGAATCGGGCGTTGATTCTGCCCATGCGTCATTCAAGCATGCACTATTGTATGAAGACCAATGGTACCAGCTTCTCGCTCAATAAAGTGTTTCTTAAAGTAATGTTGAATGGATTCCCAAAGTACACCATTGTGCGAAGCCGGTTCCACTATGGTCATTCCGACGTCGAACTTCAGTCCAAGATTCGGGGCTACGGGGTCCCACTCAATACTTTCCCAGTGGACAAGCTTGGTAATATACGAGAAGATCTGATAGATGTATGGTATAATGAAAACTGTTGCTGTCGAGCCAATAGCAATCCCAGTGGAACCATCGTGTTCACGAGTTCAATCAACAGCAACGATGCCATCATGGCCACTCATAATACGGAAAAGATGACGATTCGGCCTGAATTGACGGAAAGTTGCACATTGTCATCGGAAACTCTTGTACCCAAAACGAATGATGTACTACTTGGCCGTGGCAAACGGATCCAAAAGCATCCTGGAAACATCTCCTTCCGAGATTGGATGTACGAACATCGATCGGAATACGACGGTGCTTACAAGTTCAAGCGACGACAGGTAGCAATGGAACTCAAGAATCGATATGCCGAAAATGGAGTACGTTTTCTGAAGCAGACTAGCGATTTCAAATGGAGCTTGGCAAACGAGGAAGAGACGGAGGAGAAAGTGAAGCAGCTGTTTAGGAGTTTTCGCCGTGGTGGTACAGGGTACTAGGCAGCTGAGTATCAGCACAGGTGGCAGTCTTCTGTCACAAGTGCTAGAAGTACCAGTCTGGTATAGAACCTGACATGACCGGTGTTTCTACTGTAGCACCTCTATCCTGGAACTGAAAGCACGCGGTCTGATGCTGCAATTATTGTTTGATGACACACTTTGTAACAATGCATCAAGCGAGACATATTTTTAAAATGGTGCTGTATCGGTCCTTAAAGTATCATGATCACCGCAATCAATTGATCCATAGTGACAAACAATCTTAGGAAGCCTTCTAATAATATAACAGTAAATAGATGCAGTGGCGGTCCTGCAAGATTAATGATCGGCAGAGATAGATCATGTTCATAAGTTTCGTGAAGATAACAGATTTTAAATGTCCACTGGATGACGTGAGTTCTAATAAATATAATTAATGCGTTGTCGGGATCATTAATCTCCCAGGACCACATATTTATATATTAAAATGTAAAAAACACGATCGATGATTTGCGCGCGTATATCTAATGAAAATTCGAAAGTCATGCGGTCGTCGCAAAAATTCGATGCAATTTTTTAATTTTGTTTTATAATATATTCAACAACAATAAATACATATAATGAGCTTCCGCCGTGACCCCGCTATTGAGGGTTCCTGCTGCAATCCTTTCCAAATCCCCCATCAAGACCATGCGATCATGCACATGGAAGAAGACGGTGCCGATACACCAAACGAAACCGGTCTGAAGGCTGCGGAAGAATATTTGGCGTCCGAAGTGCACAAACTTTCATTGAAGGAGAGGCTAGAAGCCTTGGATGACGTTCACTGTGTCGGAAAAGAGATCGAAACGACCCCTGAAGCACTTCAAGATTTACTGACAGAGTTTGATGAGGAGGTAAAAAGGAGCAACGACCCCACCTATAAACTCGCTGAACGCCTAAATAAAGCATATGTGGAAGACACAGCATTCCGGTTAAGATTTCTGTTTTCAAAGATGAACAATGTGAAGCAAGCCGTGACGCAGATGCTTGCCTTTCTTCGACAAAAGGCCATGTATTTCGGAAAGGAAGCCCTTGGTCGTGACATTCTGTTGTCTGATTTGAACACCGACGACCTGGATCTTATGAAATCTGCGATATACTACGTTCAAGCGGAAAGGGACAGCTCTGGTAGAGCCATAGTTCATATGTCCCAGAACGCTATTCTCATCGAAGATGAAAGTGTCAATGCTCTGGTAGGTATTGAAGAATCCACTGCCTGGGATAAATACTGCGTGCTCAAGCTTCTTGCTTATTACTCCCTCGTTCATTTCTGTTTTCGTTTCGCAGATCCGGATGGCTTTTTTCCTCTTCTACAACCATGTCGTGCCATTGGCAGAAACAGCAACAAAGGGCATTGTTGGTATTGGATACGAAACCCAAGAAAGCCAGTTGGAAGGTCCCAGGCTCAGTATGAAGTCAATGCTCAAGATTGTTGACAGTTGCTTCTCCCTTCCAATGCGATTCTCCAGCCTCCACTATTGCCTGAAACCGTTTGGTTCCACCCTTGCAAGAGCTGCCGTTCAAGTCATGGTTCGCAACTGCCCAAAATATGTCGCTCAAAGAACTAGAGTCCATATTGGGACTAGTATGGAGATTCAATATGCACTCCAAAGCCACGGCATTCCAATGGCAAGCTTTCCATTGGATAAGAATGGAATCGTTCGAGTTGACGTATTTCGGAGAAGCATGGACAAACTTCTTGGTATGGATTTGTGGAAAAGAAGCGGCCGAAAAGATAGCAGCCCAATGGATGTGGAATGTGTAAAGATTCCACCCGGTTTGAAAGTGAGACCTGGTGTTGTCGGACCACTTTCAAGTGATGTGCTGCTTGGTCGTGGCAGGGGATTGCAGCAACATCCAGGGAATATTGAATTCCGAATCTGGATGAAAGCATATCGTGAAGAATACGAGAATGCTCAAAGATTCAAACGATATGAAGTGGCTGCGGATCTGAAGGCCAGATACGAAGCAAAGGGTGTACGTTTTCTAAAGAAGAATGATGAGGACCAGTGGGATTACGCTGATGCCAACTGTGTAAATGAGAAGATTAAGCAGCTCTTTCGGTCCATGAGAAAATGAAATCAAGTTTTGGTTTCAGCAGCAAATTGTGTTTAGTGCCAATACTACTAGAACTTTATGTATTCGCAGTTTCTCAAGCTGTGTCAATGTAGTTGAATGATATCCGCTTCTACAAGTTTCATCATCAGTTGAGCTTTTCTACAATTGGTGTCAATTCCACGTTCTCGAGCTTTGGATTGCAGATCATCTAGTGAGTAATAGGATAAATACTGATCCACCAACTCGCGTCGTTCCTTCCACAATGACAAACTTGTATTATCTTTCTCAAGATCTTCAATATATTGTGCCAATCTAGGGTCAGCCAATGTTTGCCTACCAGCTGTAGTCTTGAAGTAATCTTCGTCCCCATCGTCCATAATGGCAGCTCTGGCTATCCGTTGCAATCTGGGCTTGGAAGATTCCACAGTCTGTATCGTTGCTCGTCCCAAGAGTCTCGATATCGCTCCAAGTAAGCCTTCGTCATCCACAGGATCACGCCATGCGGAGAAGACAGCCGCAGTCAGAACCAGAACTGAGAGAAAGTTTGAGTGGGTGACACACTCGCAGCCAATAAAGGCACTGATCCCGGCAGCTGCTGATATTTGCCATGTGGATGCCAGCAAAGCTGTCTTCTGAGGATCTTCCTTTGATGCCTTATCTTTATCCAACGCACTTACTACCCGCTTCTTATCCATCTTTAGCCGAGCAGAAGCCATGACTTCTTTTTCCATATCCACAATGTTACTGTTTTCCATGAGAACAAGTGCAGGAGAACTCTTAGAAATGGCCGAAGATGTCGGGAAAAAGGCAATACCCGGGGCCAGTAGCTGGTACGCACATAAAGAAAAGAGCGTGGCCTTCATTATATTCGGTGATTCCCTTGGAACTGATGATTCACAGTGTCACTGTCAGTCCAAACAACCTCATTCAGTAGACTATGTTCCTGAATTTTTTTCAGCAATGATGATGAGATGAGATGATGACGACAAGAGATATCGATGTGCATTATTTTATTGATTGGATTTTGGATCGCTTGCGTTTTCAAGCGCGCCTGTCGACCGAACGGTATTCTAAAATTGTAGCCTGTACGTACTGATTTAGACTCTATAGTTCTCTTTGAGAGTACTGTATTCACTTTGAGATCTCTGAAGGAGATCTCTATTGTGTTGTATTGGACTGCCAAGGAGCGCTAAATACGGATACATGGAAGAGTATTGAGGAATGCGACTGCTTGTACAGCAACTCGCCTGGAAAATCAAAGATGACGAAAATCTACACCAGATCACTGTTGCTCCATCAGAAGTAGGAATGAGCGGGTTTCCAGTTCTATCCCATAGCATCCCACAACTAGGTAAAATACAATATATCGACACCAGACCGCAAAATTCAATATAATTCTAAGCCAGTAGAGTTAGATTGTCATGCATGGTGGTGAGAGACGATAGACGTCTGCACTGCGTTCACCAAAGGGTGTATTTAATGTGGAAGTACTTTGATAGGTCCAAATAATCCACGTCAACCACATCACGCTTTTTATAATATAAACCGTTGCCATATATCCTACTTCGACTGCCTCAGATGAGATTGAAAAAGAACTGAAAAGAACCAATCATTCTTTGTACGAGCTTGTCGTTACTAGCACACCTGAATATCGATTGAGGTTTATTCTGCGGGTAAAGCTCTTTGACGTATCAAAGGCTGTACAGAACATGCCCGTCGTGCTTCAGTACAAGGTCGAATTGTTTGGCACCAGCACGCTATAGATCGAGAAATGTGCTATCCGATCTATCCGAGCTCTGAATGCTGGCTTGTTTCACGTTCAATCGCAAACTGATAGAAGTGGGAGGCACATTGTTTACTGCTTGAAAAATGTATTTTATCGTGGATTTTCGGCTGAAGCTATTGAGTAGACAATCGATACATGAATGCAACCATTCGAAAACTCTATGATTCTCAAATCCCTATTCAGTGTCGAGCGTTGTCGGTGTTGCCGGTGTATACGTCGACGCTGGTCAGGTTGGGCAATCAAAGGGAACCAAAAACTTCGGGTGGTTTCTGAAAATAATGTCATTGACCAACTGTTTACCAATAAAGGTTTCCAGCATGCACTATTGCGTCAACACTGGTAACAGAAACATGGCAATCCGTAATGCTTTGATTGGAATCTTCGTCAAAGAGTCTCCGATTGATTCTATGGTGAGGGTGAGACTTCACTACGGATCACTTATGGAAATAAGGTATATTCTTAAGAGCCACTATGGATTCATTCCTACACAGGATTTTCCTATCGGTTCAAATGGCAACGTTAGAAAGGACGTCATTGGCAAAGCATGCCTGAGAAATTTCCTTTTCGATGCGTCGCCCGACACAGAAAAGTCATCTCATGACAGAATCATGCCATCGGCAGCGATAGAAGAGGAAAACTCACTGGACCAATTGATGTACTACTTGGACGTGGCAAAAGATTTCAGAGTCACCTGGCGAATGTGGAGCTGCGTGGTGTGGTAATAGATAAATGTCAGATCGAGTACGACGCGAAGATGAAAAGGAGTGAACGTCGGCGCATGGTGCAGGAAGTAAAGAAGTATTGTGACGACAAAGGCGTACGAAGAGCGAACCTAAGGTTTGGATACTTACAGAACCGGCCGAAGCAGAAGATAAGACAGCACTTTCGAAGTGGGAGAAAAAAGAAATACATGTTTGTCCAGAATGTTGATTCATTTTTAGTACTCGATACCGTGATACAAGATAAAATATCGAAATTATGTTGACTATGCTCAGTCTTCTTTTCATTTCTCATTCTTCCTTGTCCTTGTCTCTTCAGAGCACCATTCGCTAGGCGGAGAGCTGTGATTGGATTTGGAAAAAGATGCCAGCAATTTGACATGTGGTTCGGCTCCTGACCATTGAGGAGGAAACGTCTCTAACCTGAATTTTAGAAGGGCACTTCCCTGGCTTGTCTCCGAAAGTTTTACTAATGCCATCTTTCCAATCGTTCTTTCAGCTGTGGAAGCCAATAGTTCTCGACTTTCTCGTTGATGAAGCAATTATATACCATTCCATCATCGGCTGGCCGCCCAAAAGTGGCGGTGCCATTTGGTGAAGGAAATCCTATGTAGCAGCCTTTCGCTCGCCAAGCCCTATCGGCTCTTGCTGTTTTGTGGCATCGAATGTTGGTGTCTCTGGTATTCTTCCATGTCACAATTTTTGTGTGCACCATGACTGCCTCATGAATTTCATCAGTCACCCTCTCACTGGGAGCGTTCTCTCTCAGAATTCTTTGCCATCGCTTCCCTTGTGATTTAGTGGCTCGATACTGCTCCATATATGGCTTGGTCACTGTTGCATAGTGAACGAAATGATTCAAAACATAGTCTGTTCTGTAGATCTGTTTCTTGGCTCTGTCAGCATATTTTGGCTTTGGCAATGGGGAAGAATCACAGTTGTATGCTTCCAGAAAGGTGACGTTAGCTGCCTTATCGAGAATTTGAATCTTGGTCGAGTCATCTCTCGCCTTTTCGTGATACTCTGCCTCACTAGCGGTACAAATGTCGTTAGATTTTGCAGACGATTTTGCAACTAGAGCAATTGCTACGATCATATGTTCACTTACCGTGTGAAATCGTGACGTAGCTTCCCACGAGTACTTCGGAATGTTAGAATGTTTGTCCCTCCTTTGGCTGCATCTTTGACAACATCCTTGAGGTTGGTATAGTTCCCCATTGGAACCAGATACTCGTCTGTATCAAAAGAGGCCATCCACTCGGTATACGGGCCGTATCTTGAGCGACAGGAGTTCTCGGCTGCATACTGGCTTGACCTCTCCCCCGTATTAGGGTGACCAGGTACATTGTTGTTGCAGCAAAGGCTTGGCCAGTCTACCCTTGTTACCTTGGATGGTGGATATTGGCTTGTGATTGGTTCCAGACTAGTCTCATTTGTGTGCGCACCGCTGTTGTCGTACACGACAATGTGATCAAAGCCGACTAACAGGTGAAACTCGATCCATTCGCGCAATCGCTCCACCGTATCTTTTTGCTTGTTGCGCACGTCCTTGATCCCTCGCTCCGAAAACGATGCTGCTGACCAAAGGCATGCCGTTAGTTGATGTGGCTTTTCCTTTTGCAAAGGCATCATTGCTTCTTTCGACGCAATCTCGTTCTTATTCATATCGTCCTTGACATTGTCAGCGACATCAATTGTTTTCTCCTCGAGTGGTATTGTAGGCGGAGCACAAATTGGAAGGTTGGCCCATCGCCCAGATGCTTCTACTGGAGGCACAACGTGATTCTTTCCCCATCTTTGGGTTGCATTAAAACCGTTGGATGTGATTCCGGAATTATTGAAGGTATCCAGCTTGCCCGAAGTTTCCCATCGAGCTCTTGGCCCCACCATATCTTCTGTAAAGTAAACTTCCTTACTTCCATATCTTGGTGAAGTTCGAATTGGTACCACATCCACATGTAATGTTGGTGTGCCATCACTTAGAATGGTTGATCCATCGAGAACCAATGGTTGGAGTTCTGGAGGAATCGGGCACGAGAATAAAAGAGTGCTGGTCCAAAACAAGTTCGTTTCCCTCCCTTTTGGTGTTAGCAGCTGTGGTCGATTCTTTCGATATCCAGCCAATTCGTAATTTATCGGGTACTCGCTCAGCGTCTCCTTCAGTATTTTCGGTTTTCCTGATTGGAAATCGGTTGTATGAAAACGACATATGAATCGCGTCCACATACCTTCTGGAGACGCTTCTTCGTAGGGCGCTAGACGATATCTTGGCATCGGAGGGTAAAAGGTAGCATCTTTGTCAGATTCACTCCAGAGCTCTGGGGCCAACGTCCGCGCTTTTCCCTCATCAATCACTTCAACGCTGACGGATTGCAATAGAGCAACTTGTGGGGTCATTCGCAAAATATCTTTTTGGTACGCACTTCCAGATTTGCATCGCCGTTTATTCTGTGCCACGAATTCCACTCGTGTGCCATCAAGGGACGGAAAGATGTCATGTATCCAAGGCAAGAATGGATCCGCATCAACAGGACAATATGGAGCTTCTTGCCACGGATAATCGTCTGGAGTTGGCGTATTCCCAACATTGTGCACGACGACGTTGCCTAATTTATCGAATTGAAGTCCCCGATCCACTGGTAACTTTGCCGGAAGGTCATGGCACGTCCGAAATCTTGGATACTCGTACTTTTTCAAGTCTTCAGGAGTATTCTGTCGCAATGGCAACGGTTCGTAGAATTCAGGTGGGGTTCCCTTATCAATCTCTCTTTTCGGATCTCCCTGATCTCCAGTTCCAGGAATAGTATCATTCATTGGAGCCTCCAAATATGCAGTGATTATCTTTCGAGGCAATCCTTTGTCGTCGTTTCGAGCCAAGAGAGATTCCGCTATTCTTCGATTTCGGTCCCAAAAGATTTCTTCACGGGCTGGATGTGTGCTCAAACTTGAAACTGTTTTCTGTTGGGTGAACTCTTTTTTCAGATCAATTTCTGCTAATATTCTTGATTCGATGACTTCGTCTAGCAATCCCACAGCATGTTTCATCTGACAAAAGTACAGGGCCGCGCAGATCATGACAAAACTTGATATCAGCGAACGCTTCCGTTTCATAATTTGGGAAAAGCATGACGGTGATTGTTGACTGGATAGATCTCGTCCCATAATGTACAGGGGTGGACTCAAGTCAAGCAATCTTCGATCGCTCTTTTTATTATTCCTTTCGTCGTTATTCGATCCTATATATGTATTATACTTTCGACTGATGGATTCTGAGAAATTTGTCGTTGGAATTTGAAGAAGCTCGGCTTGCGCATTGACCGTATTTTGAAAAACGCAAGCCAAACTTCGAATGAATATAAAATGCAATACGGACGGTTGGACGGTACACGTACGTACTGCGTAGGGCGCGGGCGTCTCGCCTCAGATTTTGGGACACGCATATAAAAACAAAATCTACAATAATATATCTATCATCATCATCATATAAATGTACAGGGTATGGTCTGCAAATGATGAGGAAGGCATACATAACGTGCCGTAAAGGCTGAAAAACTAAGAACAAATATTTAGTGGACTGAGAAGTCAGTCAGTCAGTCGAGCATCTGAGTTGGTCGACGGAGTCGGAAATAAACGACGAGACATCTCCATACCGGTACGTGGAATCAGCTCAGACATTCAAACGGTCGAATGAGTCGGAGCAAAAAGGAACCATTTTTGGTGGTCAGCTGCGACATGGTGCGACACGGAGCTACACGAAAATTCATACTAAATAAATAGCTTAATTGTTGACACCCGAACACCAAACCCCACCGTACATCTCAGCTTTCACGTGCACACACACAAAGTAGTAAGCAAAGCTGCCCGGGGAAAAGAAGACGGGCCACTTTGCAGATCAACACTACACCAACCACCATGGAACAACAATCACAAAGTGCATTGATGCAATATAACACCCCCGAAACATCAGGAGGACCGTAAGCAAATTTTCCTCCAGAAATTTGCCCTCAATCATAATGTCACAATCAACCAACCTGTTTCATTGATACAATTTCTGTCGAGTCGCTCTTATTATTTGTGGCCCACACACACGGCCCCACAAGAGGATCTTGGTGCTTTTTGGGGACATCTTTGATTGGTCTGTTTGGGATTTTTTTCATCTCCGTGCTCTTCCGATTTGCTGCTGTTGGTTCGTGAAACGGTTCGTCGAGTCCCCATGACAGTCATATCAGGGTATAAAGCCGTATGTATTATACTACCGTACACAGCAATCGATCCTATGGGTCGCTGAAGATCGAGCTGTGTGGGACTCGTCGGTAGATTTGACCCAAAGGAAGCATATAGGTCGGACTATATTATACTATACCGTATACTCCGGTTCAGAATGCAAATGTAAGGAAATGTGAAAATTATTCTGAAGTCGTCGAAGTGTTGGCCAAATCTTTTCAAATAATTGCTTTATATTCTAACACATACACGCGTGTTCCAGGTGTAATACATGATGAGGGGGGCTTGGACGAATGGCGAGTTGCAACGTAGAGATGATTGCGCTGCACCGCCAACTTGAAATGAGTGATGAATTTCGTCATTCATGATTCCAGATAAGAGGCTGAGAATCTTCCCCATACTATAGTCCCCGTGTAGACCAGTAGAACCTCGACTTTGGGTATTGTTTTGGATTGTCGTGGCAGAAATGGGGTCCTCGGCTCTGATTTCTCCTGTTGATACCTGTCAACACATTTCAGGTGACATATTATTCTTGGCTGGTTGACTGTTTCAATATATAAATCTCCACCATCTAGTCTATAGCCCAGAATTCACAATGCAAAAAGCATACAAATCTAGTCTATATATATAACTATATATAACTATAAATAATATTGCATGTTCAAATTACAGGAATTTTCATCGCAACAATAGTGTCATTCGTGAGGGTTTGGAGCCCATACCTCGATCCTTCGTTGCTTCTATTTATAGCGGTAGAAGGACAACGTATTCATTCGGTCAATTCATTGGTCTATATATATATATGTCATTGGTGCACTATGTTTATTGATGTCCCATTGCATACTAACCATACAATAAGGTTGATTTGGGACACTCTGAAACAGTATAGGCACCATGATGGTTGACTACGATATAATGCAGAGTGTTTCAACTTGGTTCAGAAATAAAACCGAAATATGGGCATCATCAAAAGTGAGTGATCATGGTTTCTCCATCTTGTGGGACTACCGTATATACAGAGCAAACCTCTACATCAGCATGATGGATAATATGGTGTTTAATTAAATATCATGTATCGGTATCATTACAAGTGATATACTTCGTGCTGCGCTAGAGTTGTTATATTGTTTCCATCACACTTCCCAAGGGAATAAGTATTATACCGGTACTGATACCGTACCGGTAGTATTCCATATGCATGCTGTGCTTTTTCTTGGAGATCGCAATCGTCCCATCACGCAGTAGGTTGTGCACTCGTTTTGAGCATCATCATGCGTCTGTCTTGATTCTTCGCCAAAGCAACCTCCGTCTCATTGACCTCACAAGCGCCGATTCCGTATTCCGCTGAAACTTTGGCAATTGAATCAACATCGGCGCTCTTGGTCGTCTTATTGTAGGAGTTTTCCAAGATCCATTGCAATCTTGCATTCTTTTGTTCCGTTTCACACTCCAGCAACACCGAAAGACTTTCATACATACATGATATATTGCAACAGCCACCTAGGTAAACACCAGAGCAGAGCCATGGAGACAGGCTCTCTGATGGCAGGTCTTCGGCGGGATAGGGATGCGGATGCATCCGCTGCGGTGGAAATAATGACTCATAGCCGGTATCATCAGTAGCGCTTCGTTTCCTCACAAGAACTGCAAAGATTATTGTCATCATCATCGCAATAATAACAAGACATGAAACAAGTGCAACCCATTTTCTGTTCCTCTTGCTGAGCACTACTGTTGCTTGTAGAAGGTTTCGCCGATGACCGACGACTTTGATTTCACTGTCTAACTTATTATCATGACACTCGTCATCATCATCATGTTCATGTTCATGTTCATCGGTCACTCTCATGACGCCTGCTGGGCGACTCTCACTGTTAGTCAATAAGTCAGTATGCCTTATTATTTTACCTGCATTATCTTCGCAGTCGCTCATGTTTTGTTTGTTTGTTTGTTGGTCTGTTTGTTTGTTTGTTTGTTTGTTTGTTTGTTTGTTTGTTGTTTGTTTGTTTGTTTGTTTGTTTGTTGGTCTGTTTGTCTCTTTGTTTGTATTGTGGATACTTGTATTGTGGATACACTGTATTGTATACTGTACTGTATTGTACAGTATTGTGCTGTACCGGTAGTATGGAAGAAAAAATAATATGGCTACATATTGTGTGGTTGGTTGTGGATGAAATCTGACTCGAAACGATTCCGTTTCCAAGTGAGACAAATGATGATAAAGGTACCATCGGAAACTACCTATGGTTCTTCTACTGGTATGATACGGTACGATGACATGACTGCTGAAATCATCATCTGACTCAAAACGATTCCGCTTTGCATGATTTTATGATATATTACGCATCATCGTTGCTACTTGAATCTTATTATATACATACCGGTATATAAAAAATATATCAGGAATGAATCGTGTTCATGTCGCATGACAGACTGCATCTCGTTACCGGCGGTATGGTATACTCGTAGCTGCGGTAGCTGGTAGGTGCGTGATATGATCATCAGTTATTGGAAATTGCTTTTTACAGTATGCTACCGAACCTACAGTATACGGGTACAATTCTCTTCATCACACCTCCAAAGATATCAAATGTCTACTCTGGTGCCAGTCGTGGCCTCGGTACCGACATGGCGGAATAAGTCTAATATCTGAAGCAATGATACAAGCTGAATATTATCATTATGGCCTCATCTGTGCTGCTCGATCCTTCGATCCTCCTCGATCCTTCGATCTTCCACGATGAAACTCTTCATTCCTATCTCTGAGATCTGAGATATTGATCGATTGATTGATTGATTGATTGATTGATTGATTGATTCATTCATTCATTCATTCATTCATTCATTCACTGATGGAACAATAAAAATCAACCGAACTTATTGGTTGGACAAATCAAAATGATGAAACATTTCCAAGATGACAACTACATTCTTTCTTGTTTGCTATGACAAACAAAGGACTTCAGGATCGAATCGCTCTACCGGTATACATATACATTATTATTGATTCCGCAACTATACAGTATCAATATTGAATATGTATATACATATGCTGCAAGTTCGATTCAATTGAAATAAATCTTTCTGTACACCAATCTTTCTGTACACCAAACAGGTATATAGTTGCTGTCCAACTGCGAAACTGATTGATTTCTTGAACATGATCAGAGGAATAACATATAGCGGGTGGCGAATGAATGAATCTACTTTTATTTCATCAGGCGCAATAATCGAAAACCGATTCATTCATTCATTCATTCAGGAGATGCTCATATATATTATTGCTGCTGGCCCGGGGTGTTTGTCAATATATGGAACCAACGGATGGTGGTGGACATAGGAATCTTTGAAGAGGGAGGCGATAGGTATGCATGTGTGGATATTATATGATTACAGGAATTCATACGGTTTGATCCTAGTATAGAATTCATCCGTGCATATTCGAAAACCAATTCAAAAGATGATTGCAGCTGGGGCGGGATTTCAATATGGAACCGATGGATAATGATCGACATCAACCTTTGATTTTGTATGCATATGGATCGATCGAACTCTTTGGAAAATAGAGAATGAGAAAGCTACGCATCATGTATGCATGGTGGAAGCAACGGAAATGATAATCAATTGCATCGTAAAGTAAAGAGACTGCTTCACCTGAATGTATCCACCTAAACATGCCATGGAAAACATAAAAAGTTGCTGATAACCCAACAGTGTTGTTATATTGTCAAGCTTATATTTTATTATTAAAAGTCTCTAGAATTGGGTTTCAGGTTCCGGCACAGCGAAATAAGTCCCAGCAATAATAATTGTATTGCTTATTTTACGTCAAACCCTTCGTCTCGCAAACAGATCTTGTGTGCTTCAATCAGCTTGATACAGTCCGCATCTTCTTCTCCACGGAATACCACACATTCATCTCTTGCTTTCTTTGTGTCAGGACAGCAACAGCAAATTGGTTTGCCTGTTTTAATTCCCAACTTCTTTTTTGGTTTCTGATCATTCGTTCGTAAATTTTAAAAAAGTGGAAGGTTCATAGGCCATTGGATTGTCCATCATTGGCAAAAGAAAGAACAGCCAGTCAGTGCATGAAACGATAAAGTTAGATTGGTTCTCCATCAAAAAGAACGATTACTGCACGACGAGTTACTATCGAACAATGCATTATTCTTATTTTTAAAAAACAACATCAAACATGATCACGATTGATGATGAGCCCGCATTGAGCAGCCGTCCGAGATGATGCGAGGCAATCTTCCGAATGCATTTTCAAATCGGGGGTTTATATGACTTACAGGTGGTTCTACTGGTGTTGAAGCTCCTTGTCCCATACTCTATATTGTCTTGTTGCCGTTGAGGTTAAACTTGTATCGTGTACTATACAGTATTATCTTATTCTTCTTGGTGGTTGGTTGTTGTTGGTTCCGCGTTCGAAGAGGTTCTTGAGAAGATTTTCTGTCTGAGGTGGCTGACCAATCATATGAGTCGTCAAAGAAAGGTAACGCGCACTCACGCGGTACCGAGAGCCCGCCACCACTTTGCCAAAAGAGTTATTGCAGAAAATATCATATATATATATATCAACACGGCTTCCTACAGTTGTCATGGGACTATATATTCAATATATATATGTTACTCGTGAATATTCTTCATTTTTTCGCCAGTGTTCCGTGTTGTCTAAAGGCTCCCCATAAAAGATTTTTTTATCCAGTCTTCGCTATCAATCGCCTCTTTCGATGGATTCGATTCGTTTGCAGTTCCCGATGAAAGACAAACTGTGCGTGTTCCATATATGTACGTGTACCAGAATGGCAGGCCATTGAGTTTCACGTCGGCCTTTACGTTATCCAAATGTCTATTTAGTCATGCCGGTAGATACTGGTAGTCCTATTGTTGCGGTACCGGTAAGGTACCAGGTACGGTACGGTGGGCTCGATTTTAAAAAATTTCAAATAATGAGCGAATGTTACAAAGTCGCGGAATTACAAATAGAACGAAGGTTCGGTTCCCACAGCTTTTTTAAAAGTTCAACTTGCAAAAGTAAGCACAATACACCTATACCTCACAAAAAAACTTGTTGCGACTCAGTTGCAAGATGATCTTCAGTACAGACAATGATAAGCTACACAAGGATAGCCAGAGCTATTCAGATCTTCTCGACGATGGCCTATTGTCACCAATGCAATGCGCTTTACCGTCCTTCGAAATGACAGTCTCATCTGCGGTTTCCTACACCTCTCCGCCAGCCCTAATATGCTTTGACGATCCCTTTGATGATCCACGCATGGAGCCTATTCCTCTTCGACCCCACGCTTTCAATGATAAGCAGCAATTGACATCTCTCCAATCAGTGCCGCATGACGATGTTTCATCTTTGTTCGTGACGGATCATGACGCAGACGGTCTCCCATCGTCTGTCGTCCCGCTGAAAAAGCCATCTGAGACCGAACTTCGACAAGATCTGCTCGACATTATGGAACCCATCATCTTCAACCAAGGGGAATCCAAACGAAGCTTGGAAACCGTTTTCTCCGATTGCGATCTGGGCCCTTCCAGCGTTAAGCGACAACGGACACACCATATGATGCCACAAGATACTCCTGCTGATGCTGGCGGAGACGAATGTACAGCTCGCTTTCGCCCGTATCAAGAAACGCAGTGGCAAAATCAGTTCCAAAAGCTCGTCCAATACAAGCTTAAGTACGGGCACTGCTCTGTGCCTCACTCCTGCAAAGACGACCCCATCCTTGCTCGATGGGTCAAGAGGCAAAGGTATCAGTACAAGAAATTCTGCGATCGCAATCCCACGTCCACGATGACCAGCCGTCGTATTCAAGGACTTGAATCGCTTGGTTTTGTGTGGAAATCGCATGCCTCGGCATGGGAAGAAAAGCTCAACGAGCTCAAGGCCTTCAAGCAACAGCGAGGCCACTGTAACGTTCCGGCTCACCATCCAGATAACACTGCACTATCCACCTGGGTAAAGTCTCAGCGTCGCCAATTTAAGCTTTTCATGTCTGGGGCCTCAACAAACATGACGAAGGAACGCCTCCAAGTGCTTCAATCCATGGATTTCGTCTTCGATGCCTCAAACCACAAGACATCCGGAACGTTCTAAGCGAAGAAAAGATCAGAGAATTTGCAAATATGCCACTACATATTTATTACATATTAACAATAGTAAGGCGAACATTACATAGCATGGATTTGAAGAGAGCCAACCACCTGGCGCACTTAGACCTTGTTTGCCTGTGGTGGTGCTGGGTCTTTCTGTGGATGCACCCATACCTGTACCGGTAGGGCCAAAGAAGAATATACGCAGTTGGTCAACATCGGATGTTTGTGGAATGATTTAGATACACGATGCAAGGCGTCGGAAGACTGATGTTTTGAAATGCTCAGGGAGTATGCTACTTCTTCAATAGTTCTACATTATTATCCCTTGACAAGAATGTTGTAGATGATTCCCTCCAACTCGGGAGTGTCGACACTACCACTCGATGCCATCCCCCCCTATGCCTCTTTGTCCCAACACGTTCAATGATAAGCAGCAATTGTTATCTCTCCAATCAGTGCTGCAAGAAAATGTGTATTCTTTGTTCGTGACGGATGAATATGTTGGAATCTCCCTAGAAGTAAAATCTATTGGTCTTGCAATTGTGAGCTAAATTATTCCTTACTCTATTTTCTAGTCTTGCTTCTCAGTCATGCACAGCATCTGGTATCTTGCCATGACTACATT